CAGCAGGTTTTGAATGGCAGCCGTGAATAAGCATCTGCCCTTGATCCTCAGCCTTTCTGCGTGTGCACAGGGTGGGAAAGAATAATTCTATTAGTCCTTGTGAATAGATCCAAATGCTACTAGCACATTTTCAAGAGCACTGACTGTCGTACTGCAGTTTTTTTTTTTTTTTTTGACAAGCTCAGACCGCTGTGTTAGGTTTCTCATGCACGTGCATATGCAGATTACAAAGTCTTCCTTTTGTTATGTAGAACCTATATTTTTCTCTGTTGGAGAACACAAGCCATTGGAGAGTTCTGAATATATTCATTACCATCTCTCAACCTGACGAAGTGGAGTAGAGCCGGAGTAATGATGGGGCAGAATGTAAATGGGGAAACTAGTCTGCTGGGAGCAGTAGAGTTGATCTATGAGATTGCATGTTTTGCAACCTAATATAGCTTAGATAAGCAAACCCTTTCCTGTGGATGTAGTGCAGTGTACATTATGAGGCCAGGGTTGTCTGTGAGCATGTGTGTTTGTAAGTGACTGAGCTCACCAAATGTGATTTATTTAGACAAATGGGAAAATATCAAAAATGTGATGAATGGGAGCAGAGAAAAGCAAAACTCCACAATTGTTCATCATCTTCAAATTTAAGTTTGAGGCCTTTTGGGGAGTAAATATTGCAGCAACTCAGCCTGCTCTCATCTGACAGGTGAAATAGGAGTTACAAAGCAAAAACAATTTTCAATTTTATAGTATTTGCTATCTGCTGGATTTTCTGGACTGGCTGGGAGCTCACTGTCCATTTGTGTTTAGTGCTAACTGTCCAACTGAACCAACAGCTACAAGTCATGTAACGGTCTGCAGTTAGTTTAAGGAGTCATCAGGCAAGCACAGTCAGTCTGACCTGGAATTTGTGCTCTGAGAGGTGTTTATCTTCTCTGGACCTCGGCTTTCCACCTGTACTCAGGACTTAAGAAGGGAAACGGGTAGGGGCTGAAGGCTTAGTACAGCTTCACAGCACACTTCTGCCCTAGGCTTGGTTGAGCTTTGCTCTGCTGCTTCATGAAACATCGTCTGGACCTGTAATTGCCTGTATTATGTAGAACACTTCTTGTTCCTTTGCCAAGTCCCAACAAAGTTTGCTTCATTTAAAAACAAGACTTTCCTTTTGAAAGTAATATTAGAGATAAAAGTGCTGTTTGTTTAGAGCACAAAATGTACATTATACCAAAGTGCCAAAACTCACAGAAGCTTTTAGTTTTGGAAAGGAGGAAGACTACTTAGCTGACAATTAAGTTCTTTCTTCTCTTTAAATATTACAGGCTGGTGAACAAAAGACACCTGCAGAGGCTTTAAAGGGAGAAGATGTGTGTTGTGCAGATGGGACACACAAAGCTCTAGCTACGCCACAGGTTTGGATTTAGTAAAGATGCATGAAGCATATTTCTTTTGAGAGGCTCAGCTTGACAAGTTAGTTTTTTTCTTTTATGCAGATTTAAAGCCAACATGCTACTCAAGAGAAACATGATTGTGGTAACACTTAAATTATTACCAAGTGGTGTAATTATCGTTTTCTTTTGAGAGTGATCAACCACTAGAGCATCAAATACTACAATGCTATAAAACGAAAGTGAGTAGAATACGATCAGAAGGCCAATCTTTTCTTGCAGTCCTTAAATGTAATCAAAAACTGAAATTTCTCATTTCCTCAAGTACTCAGACCTGTAACTCGGTATTTTGTAGAAGGGTTTATTTTATGTAGAATGATGGGCAAAAAAGGCAGGATTATATAATTAAATCTACAACCCAAACATAGTGAGTCCTCTCTGAAGTGACTGTACATCAATGCAAGGCACACATTCCTAACACCACTTTTAAGTAGCACTAACTAGCCCCAGCTTGTGACTCTCATTTATTACATACACTCGAGTCACAGAGGTAATTTTCTGCTAATATCCAAAGTTGAGACTTGATGACCATTTTAACCCTGTACCATCGTTTCATAATTCTGAAGGTATTTCTCGAATCCTCAGACTCCTGTAACGATGTGGAATCAAAAATTATCTTCTATCCAGGAAAAATATAATTTTAATCAGTTTCTAGACTGTCTGTTCTCCTCATTTAAAAAAAAGATGGCAATTGTGACATTATCACTGCCTTTGTGTAAAGTGGCTCGACTTCAGGAATGTGTTTAAACAGTTTTACTTAATTTTCAGTAACACATTCACTAAAACAGCTTTCAAAAATACATTCACGTTCAACTTTCACAAAATAAAAGTGAGAGAGACATTGTCATTTCCTGTATCCACTTTTGCTTAGCTGGAAAAAAATCAGTTTTACCAGAGCAGCTTATTAAAATTCTATTTTTCCTGGAGAGGACCAGATTATTTTGAATTCTACATCATTAGAAGAGTCTGAGGATTTGGGAAATACCTTTACAATTTGAGTGAATGTTATGAATCAACAGTTTGGGGTTAAAGCGGCTGGCGAGTTTCAATTTCGCACATTCAAAGATACCGTATCTAAAGCATTAGCTGGCTAACGTAGCTTGCTGGCTTAAAGGCTATAGCTAGTGATGCATGTTCAGTTCATATCCTCATCTGAACATGTGAAAATAAAATGTAAACAGGAAAAAGAGGAAATAAATGCTGTGCTAGTTATCAACTGACTGGCAGCTAAAGAAATTATATATTAAATAAAAAGGCTTCTTTTCACCGACTGACCTTAAAAAGTAGGGAACTTGATTTAATTATACACTTTAAATGAGTAAATAATGCAAACATTTGTCATATTTTTGACTTGTCTGTTAAACCTCTTTGCTACATTTTGTAATTTTCAGCACGATCAGTGCTGTTCAGTCAGGTTGCTGTACACCACCTCCCTGTGCTGTTTTGAAACATGTGGTTCTAGCAAGATTACACGAGTTAAAGAAATGTTTACACTGCAGGTACTGTTTACACCTTTGAAGTCAAGCAGTAAATTAAGGTGGTATTTCTCTGCTGTGTGGTTTCAGGTTCTCTGAAGAACATTCAGCAAAAAGCAAAAGATATATGGCATAGGGAGTAGCTGGAGGCTCATGGCCGCTGCAGTGCAGACACTTCACTCTTCAATGAAGGGGACACCAAGTGTGCGTATAAAACCATGATTTATTTGAGGATTTATTCATAGTGCATAAATTTCCTTTGTATTTCATAGAGACATCCATTTGTGCTTATTTCTTTTTACAAATGAAACAATATAAAGTCATGAAGCAATTCAGTCAATGCAGGAAGAGGTGTTAAAATGCGGACATTTCTGTGGTATAGACACCACACAGTATGTTGGTTTAAAAAAAAAAAACTGCATAAGGCACCAGTTTTTTCTAGTATAGAATTACTATACACAATGGCATAATAAAAGCACAGCTTGGTCATATGGTAAATAATATGTAAAACAAGCTGAGCAGTTAGAATAATGGCAAGGAGTGTAATAGCATTTTGCTTTACAGGATAAGGTTGGTCATTCTCTACAGTAATAGTATTTAACAAAACCCATGCAGACAAAGCCATCAGTGAATTGCCTCTTCTCACGGTTAATGTCTCAGTCTCCAACCTTCAGCTTATTTGTCTGTGCCATAGACCAGTTTTTCATGTCAATGAAACACACTGCTGCACTAGGTGACGTTTCTTTATTATGAGACACCAAACTAGCTTTTTAGTGTCTGAGGTAGTGGGACTCAACTGTGCACACAAGGAGCTCCTAAACAATGTGCAGCTGCCTCACCACTTCAGACCCTGTAAAAAGTTATGGTCGTTTGAAGATTTGGGGGGAAACATGTTTAACATACAGTATGTGGGTCTGGTGTTTAACAATGAAGAAACATCAGTCACATATCAGATCACTGACGTTTTTGAACAACCGAGGTCTACGGTACAGACAAATAAGGTTGGCGACTGATAGACATGAACCATGAGTAGAGGCAATTCACTGTCAACTTTTGTCTCTGTAGGGGGATTGTTGAAAATACTAATATAAAAAATGGCCGACCTTGACCTTCAAGCACATTCAATCCAGGCTCATAAGTAACATTTAAACACTTAGAATATATTCTTCTCCACAGTGTACAAACCTGCTGAAATGCATTTCATTCACAAATTGGAGGATGTTATCTGGTAATTGTGACTTAATATCTTCATAATTGTGAGAAAAGATCTCAATTATGAGGATGCTGTGTCTTCTTAAACAGCCTATTACAATTATCTGATCTTTGGCTTTCCTAATTATGACAAAGCATTACACGTTAATAGTCATTGTGTAAACAGATAAACTTGGTCAAGAAATAGGAAGAAGGCTATAGGCTGTGTAATATTAGCATGGAACCAGTGTGTTAGAATGTGGGTGCTGTTGTTAGCCTAGGCTATAGGCCTATTTACGTTTGGTAATACTAAGTACGCTGAATCAACTTAGCAGTTAATTTTGCTACCTATCTTATTGTTGGATGTGCTGTCATTATGTAAATAGTCTACTGAAAAAATCTTAAATACTCAATGCTTCTCAAGCTGCTTCTAAAGCTTTCCAACTCCTGCTCAGTACATGTATAGGCCTATAATGAGTTACACTTTGAGGTCCCTTTAAATTTGTTTACATTTTAGGCGAAACAGTTCGCTTTTGCTATGCACTACTGGGTATACTGACAACTATCAGTGAATTACTCTGATACTAAAGAATTCGTTAACCTGATTTTCATCAAGTTCTACAGCGTTCCAACTCCTGCATTCTCATAATTACAAGATAAGATCCTCCTTTTTTTTTGGGTGAATGCAATGCGCTTCCATACAAACCTGCCTTTTCTCCTCCAAACTATTTCTACTGTGAACTCTCCAGTTGTACTCTTCTGCTCTCAAGCACCTTCAGGGATTGCCTGGTTGAGGGTCCAGGAAGATTAGTGTTTAAGTGCAAGACCTCTGAGTACAGTCAAGTTGTTCTTTGTTCTGTGTGAGCACCAGCAAGGTAGCACCACCTGCAAGCATCATAGGTTTGTAGAGATACAGGTAAAAGGTTTGATTAAGGTTGAGCTAATCTGTGAGAGGTCTGGCCCCGTTGACTGCAGAGACATCCATGTCTGAACTGTTCAGGTATTTGTGAGGTACTGCTGAAAAAAAAAAAGAGGGAGGAAGGGAATTAAAAAAACAAGTCACATTCCCATTTTATCCCCAGGTCAAAGCTCAAATGTGGGACTAATACATACCTTTGTTTTGTTACGGATCTATTCTTATTAACAAGTAGACCAATGACTTGTATTAGTTGTTATTGCAAAAGTAGTCATGTACAGGTGGTAACTGTACTGTACATCCACCGGCCGTTTTATTAGGTACACCTGTACAATTGTATGCAATTCAGTGCCTTAACATCCGTGTTGTATGTTTGTTTTTGGTGAAATTGTCATAAATGTATATGCTTATTACTGAGGTCATAGTTAAAGGTGTTGTTGTACTGGACTACATTATAGTCAGAGGTGTCTATTTGTCAGCTACATGCATAAGGGTCAGAATATTAGGAACACCTCTGACTATAATGTAGTCCAGTACAACAACACCTTTAACTATGACCTCAGTAATAAACACATGATTGAATTTATACATTTGACAATTTCGGTAGACTGACATCCTGTCCAGAGTGTACCCTGCCTCACATCCAATGTCAGATAGCTCTTGTTAGGATAAGCAGTATAGCTAATGGGTGGATGACAATTTCACCAAACATTTTGAGCTTCATAAACACAGATGTTAAGGCAGAAGTGTTGCACTGAATTCTATACAATTGTACAGGTGTACCTAATAAAGTGGCCAGTGAGTGTATATTGACACTAGTGTTAAACAGCCATAGATATGTTTTGGCCACCATAATTCTTGGAGGTAAAACAGATGCATGCCAAACAAAATGTGTTCCCCTCATACTCAGCCAACTGTGTGTAAGCAGCTTAGAGAAGTACTACTAGTGATTTGGCTGTGAGCCACCAGCTCATGATTTCTAATTCATCAAACATTGCTAAAACAATACTGAAGCAAATACCCACCTAGAAGTTTGTGAGGTTTGACCAGGTTTCACTGCCTAAAAGTGAAACTGACAGGAGTGCTTTAAAAGAAAAATGACTTCATAATACCCAGTAATATCTTAACCTGGCTTTTCAGTTCCACAATGACTGTGCAGGCTTGATACTGTACTACAGAATGTAAAAATATAGGTATACAATTTTGCACAATTTGGCGATGCAGAAAAATGACCACAGTTAAATCATCCTACAGATAAGCTGTCAGAGCTTAGGTTTTGCAGCTTCAGTATATAAATACCCACACAGTGTGTCAGATCTGAGGGAGCTGCTGAGGAACGTGCTGGGGTCTTTGATGGTGGAAGAAAGAGCTGCCAGTCTGAGGCTCCTGGAAGTGGCATCCAGCTTCTCATCCTGGAAGAGAGCAGGACACAGTAACTGATGAGTGAAAGTCTGCAGCCACACTAGCAGCCATAATGCATGTTACACAGCAGAAAATAAAACAACTTAATAACTGAAAATGGGCCAAATTACATTTGGATCATTACCAATAATGAGCTGAGGCCAACGGTGGCACACACATTGTTATTTTCATTCTGTTCCATGGTTTACTAAGTCACTGCTGTCTCTCAGAGACATGTTACAGATATCTTGTATCCTGTATGTAGAGACTGTTACAAATGCACATCCTGTAATGACATATGCACTATGTCTTAATGCACAAGATGTGTAACATATGTCCTGCAAAAACATTCCACCCATCCTTTTTCCTTAAACAAACCCCGGGTGGGTAAGAGCTATTAAGTTAATGCAATTGCCACTTACTGAACAGCGCGAGAGCCATTTGGCAAACCAACAGGGCGATCTGGTAGATTAAAACCATTTAAAAAGTGACTATGGCTGTTTAGGGGAGGCTGCATACTGCTGATGGCTATCAGCTGTCAACAATGATGTCTTGATGGCTCCCTTGCCTGCTTTATAGCTCAGAAGACGACTGTAGCAATTAACAGTGACTGGTAAAATTCAGGTTTTGTTTTGAGTATACATGTGCCATTGCCTGATCTGGTCCCACTCTGTGTATTCATGATCCATTACCAGAATGTGAAATTATTCATTTATTCATACAACTTGCAAATTAGGTGCAGTGCACACACTGGCACCAGTGTGGGCGAGCTAGACACAAATGGCTCTCAAAGTCAGGCTAAATGGCTGATGTTTGAACAAAGCAGCGCAATTAGTGATTGAAACAAAAAAAGTGTGGGCTGTTGTTGGGAAGTGCAGGCTTTACGAATCTCGTTTTTATAGACTACAGCCTAGCAAGTCTGTGTGTGTCATACCCTGTACTCTTGGATTCTGCGTTTAGACTCATCCAGCTGGTGCTGCAGGTCCCAGACAATCTCTTTGTATTTGGTGTAGCGCTGCTCTACCATGTCTCTCTGGTGCTGTGACTCCTGGAGGCATAAACATGGAGGCTGTGTCATCATACCCAACAAGACAGAAGAGACAAAAGTCCTTAACCAAGTCTAAAAACAAATGCATGAGCATCTAACTAGTCCTACGCCCCACATATAGTAGAACAGCAGCATTCATTGGATAAATGTGATAATTCCACTAAAAAGGTTATTCCTGTGATTTTTTTCTTCTTCTTCTGGGGTTTATTTGATGTTTCTAAATGTGTTGGTAATTTACGGGGATGAAAGTGACAAGTTGATTTTACAATTTTTTTTTTTAAATGAATGAAATAAAATCTAGGCTTGAAGTGAACCCACCTTCAAATCTCTGAAGTTCTCCATCAGGCATAGTTTTTCTGGAATGGACTCCAAGTGGTCTAAGGCTAACCTGGTGTTCTGAAACCACACACACACACACACACACACACACACACTCTATTACTCCAAATACCAAAATTTGTTTCATGATGTCTCATATTCAATTTAGCCATCATTTAAATCTTCAACAGCTACTAATAGCTGTAAAACAAACTGAGAAATCAGTGTGTGTTTGTATACATAAAAAAATTGAATATTAAAAATGCATAAATAAGAACAACATCTGAGAAAGATGGGCAGGACACTGTAGCTCATAGCATCGAGAATGCATTGAGTGTCTGATTCATAACATTACACCACACAAAAATAGTAGATGGAGAACTCTACATGGGTGAATATTGAGGCATCATCCTAGTTCCCTACATTATCACCCCCACTTGTTACTAAGAAATCCTACTT